GGGAGCCAAGAGCCAGAAGTGGTCTGGATTTGGAAATTATTAACTAACCCCCAACTCCCCCATCTTAGCAGCCCCTCCCAGACCGACACTGGCAACACCAGCCTGGCAGCGTAAAAGGAGCATGGGCTGTAGACCCAAAATAGGCCCAAACACGTCACTTTAGTCCTGGTCTTAACACCGACAGAGTACTTGCTTCACACCACTCTGCTTTGAGTCCAAGACCTGGCACATTGCCAGCAGCCTTTCGGTCTGTGTACACGGGCCACTCATTGGCAGCGGGCAGCCTAGGCGCTCCTGTTACACTTCTTCCCACGGACTCAGCCCTAAAACCAAGGGCATGCCTAGACTCTGGGTGGGAGGCAGCAGAGTCCCACTGCCCAGCATTCCCGGCCTCAGGACAGGAAGCTGGAAGAAGTCCTGGGCCACGCCACGGTCTCACATGGAGCAAGGCAGGGAGGGCTCAGGCCCAGACTAACCCTCAGCATCCAGACACACAGGCCCCTGCCGCGACCCAGTAGCGCTGCACCCTGAGCGGGACGGCCCTGCGGCGTGCTGCCTTTCCGAGAACATGGCTTCGCCCCTGCCCGGCTGCACACAGCCCGCTCCAGCACCTGGAGACAGGGAAGGGACACCTCCCCTTGCTTGCCACCTCCTCGTCAAGAGCAGCAACACTGAGCGGCAGAAGATGCTCAGGCCACCAGCAAGAGGGCAGGGGGGCATCATGAATGCTACATGGTTTGAAGACCCCAGCTGGGTCCATCACCGTTACACTGGCGATCTTGGAAGCTGTGGGAGCAGGTTCCAGGATCACCTGTAGAACCAGAACCACCCCCACACATCTTCCCAGGACCGTCAATCCTGCCCCCCAGGAAAAGTGGCAGACACAGACATGAGCTTGAACAAATGGGAGAGGAGGGGGGTGTCCTGCCAGCACAGCTGGGTCACTCAACCCACTTGCTGCTCCCCCCCTTCACTCAGTGGGCCCCAGTTCCAGCAACCCCACCTCCCAGTCTATCCTAAGATGGGGAGAACAGGTACCCAGCCATCCACTTTCCCTGCCTGCCCGTGGGGGTGAGCTGATCCTGGGCACGAGGCTGCATGTTACGGAGAAGCAGCGCCAGGACTCTGACTTCCCTGTGAAGGCCACGTCCACAGTGCAGGGGAGGGGTGTGCGCTGGCACAGCCATGACCACTGGTGATGGGAGCCTTGGCCAACATCAAGACCTGATGTCCCAGAGCTCCCCCGCACCAGGGGATCGTGACAGGCCAGCCCTGGGGAAGGGCAGCACCTAGGTCCTGTGAACAGCCCAGAGTGGGAATGTAGCAAGGTGCAGCCAATAGGGAAGGCAGCAGCATTCCCAGCACCTCCAAGCTGCCTGTCCTAGTGCCTCCCAGCCTGCCCTCTTGGAGAGGCCCGGTGTGTATGTGGGCCCCCAGAGCTCCTGGCCTGCAGGAGCTAGCCTAGTGACAAAGCCACACAGCCATTTCCTGGCTGCCTGTTGCAAGCAGTGGACTGTCAGGATTAGCTGGGAGTAACCCCTGGCAGGCTACAGCTCTACTCCCGGCAGGGGCCCTCGCTCCAGCCCACTGCACGACTGTCTGGAGGCAGTGCACTGCCGCCAGCTCTTTGGAGGAGCGAGAGGTGTTGCTTTGGCAGCACCAGGACAGTCGTGTGCTGCTGGAAAGCTGCAGCGTTGCCCTTTGAAGCAGATAGCGGCACCTCCCGGATGCTGTAAGAGGCCCGGTGCACGGAGCTCAAGTGCTCCTTGGAGCTGGCACTTGGTCGGGGGTGAGGCTGGCATCTGGCAGGGCAAAGCCGCACCCGCTGTCGGCAAGCGAAAGGGCACCGAGCCAAACACTCTGGCTTCAACCAGACCAACATGAGGGAGGAGCATGGTGCTGCCCTCTAATGGATGGGCCGGCAGACAAAGGGCCTTCTCCGCTAGTCCCGGCAAAATGGGCCTTCCCAGCTCCGTGGCAGACGCCTGTGCAGCCTCCTGGCTCTGCCCAGGCCAGGATTGTAGGTGCCCATCCAGTGACTTTTCCCAGCTCTCATGTGGGAGCTCTGCCAGCAGAGGCAGGGCACCGCTGTGGGCTGGGCCACCGGCACGCTGGGGACAGCAAGGGCTGCAGGCAGGTGGGCTGACACCTCCAGTTTGCACCGACCGCAGGAGAGCCAGAGCCCTCCCTCCCGCTCAGCCAACTGCACGGACCTGCCTGGAGGGGTTTCGAGGGCCCAGGCAATAAGCCGGCCCGGTGCACGGCCCCTCCGCAGAAGGGAGGAGCCATCTCTGAAGCTGATTTGGAGACCGAGTCCTGAAGTGCAGGCAGGGCACTAGGCTCCATGGCTGAGCTCCCGGCTAGTGGCCAGCTGCAGGAAGGTGCCACCCACCTGCTGCCCCTTGCGCTCAGTCCTGCTTGGCAGCAGCAGGGTCAGGACAGGCTGGAGCCGGGCAAGCTTACCCCAGCCCAAGTGCAGGCCCGGACAAGACACCCAGCTGTGCCCAGCATCCAGGCCCACGGGCCTTGGCCCTGGTTTACAACGCAACACGGATGAGCTTGGGGTTTGGTGGCTTGGGGAGTGGCTGTTCTGGGACCAGCTGTGAGCCTGCCCCGGCACCAGGAGAGCTCGCAGCTGCTCTTGTCAACACTGGATTCCTTGCTCTCCTGCTGTGCCCAGAAAGCGTGTTGAGGTTTAGTGACATGAGCATCATGCAACCAGCTCCGGCGGGTCAGGGACCAGCGTTCCTGCGCGCCTGCTTTGCGCCAGCTACTTGCGGCTCTGGCAGCGAGATATTCCAGAGTCCAAGGGAGAGACGCCACCGCTGGACAGCCCAGGAGCCAGAATCTTGTGTTCTGCTTCTCCAAGGGCTTCCCCTGCATTGGGCTGAGCTAGGCGGCCCCAGCCAGGCCTGTCCCCGATTCTGGGCCGTGGAAACGTCAGCAAGTTTGAAGACGCCCCAGCCTGTGGGAGGAACTGGAAGGTTCAGGGCGGAGGGTACTGACCCGACCCACCACAGGTTGTGTGGCAGTTCCCAGCTGCAAAGGTAAACCGCCCCCACAAAGGACCGGGCCAGGCCAGCCACCTAGCATGTGTCCACACAGCAGAGACCCAACCAGCCTAGGAGGCAGCTCCTGGGACTGGCTGTTTAATTGCCATGTAGACACTTAGGCTCCAGCACCCTCCCATCTCACAGGCCCTGGGCTACAAACTAAGCCTGACACTTCACAGCCACTGGAGAGCTGTCAGCTGGCATGGACCAGCCACAGGGCTTCAGTGGTGGCAGAGGTACCTCAACACTCCCGATAGCGTGTCCTCTGCGCAGCTCCTCACCGGGCCCAGACCAGCTCCAGCTGGCACAGCAGATCAGAGGTTCAGGTTGGGCAGAGGCCCCATGGCAGGCCCTGAGTGACTGTACGGCAGCTCCGTGCATTGAGCTCTGTCCGCCTCAGTTCCCACGAGGATGCCGGCTGGGGGACTGGGGCAAGCTCAGAGCCCCCAGCACCACAGAGATCCTGCCTGGCAGCTATTGATCTCCAGACCCTGCCTGGGCAGAAAAGCTGCAGCCCTGACCTGCTGCGAGCCCGTGGCCTGGCAAAGGCAGGAACATGCTGCCAGGACAGCCAGCCACAGGCAGTTAGCGGCTGTGTGTCCAGCTGGCCACAGGGCAACACGCTGGTCCCCACCCTGCCCAGCCCACAGGTCTTCAAGAGCCAGAGAAAAGATGTGAGCAGAGCCCAGCAAGGAGGGGGAGAGGGAAAGTGTTTTCAGCTGATGCGGATCTAGGGCCCAGGCTGCTCTGCAACATGGAAGTGACCATCATCCAGTGGGGTGGGGAAATCCAGGTACCATCAGCCCCCCACCAGCAGCAGCAGGCTCTCGACTCAGCTCTGCTCCCAGGGGGCTAGGACAGGGTGAGGAACCTTTTGGGGTCAGGGTCACTGACTCACAGGGGAAGAGCCAGAGGCCAAGGGCTGGAGTGCCAGTGCAGGCTCCCCAATGCTGGGGGAGGCCCTAAGCCTCAAGGGCCAGATCCAGGCAATCCGGGGGCTGCATCCAGCCCCAGTAAATCTCCAGGGGCCTAGCTGGAGGAGAGCTGCACCCACGCCGCGCCCAGCTCCCTTGCAGCCTTGGCTGTGGGGACAGGAAGGAGCTTCGCCTGCCGTGGCAGCCCTGGAAGGGGCACGGCTGGTCACTCAGAGGCGTTGCCAGGAGCCTTCCAGCCCCACCTCAGAAGGAAGCTCTGCTAGGCCTGAGCAAGCGGGACATAGGGGATGCGGCCACTTCTCTGGCCTGTCACTAGATGCTGCGGGCACCAGCGTCCCCGGCCTGCATCTGGCAACTAAGCAAACCGGCCCCTTCGCGAGGCCTGTTCAGACCGGCCCACACAGGCGCTGCGCTATGGGGCCACACGCACTCACGCCCCGGGGCCGGGAAAGGCCTGAGTGCGACGGGCATGGGGGCAGGACTGGAAGACGTTCGTGCCCGGCCTGCAGACGTGAGGCAGCTCTGGAGGACGAGTGCCGCCATGTTGCCTGCAGAAAGTCAGGCCTGCCCGCTGGTCGGTCACAGCTTCTCCACAGGTACTGCACCTCAGAGGCCAACTGTGTCCCAGCCACTGCTCAGAACCTCCCCTGCTCCAGCGAGTCAGAGAGGGAGCTTGGCTGCACCAATGAGACCTCCCCAGAGTACCAGTTGCTCCACATCAGCCCTGTGGCCACCACTGTCCTCCAGCAAGCGAGTGGCTGGCTCCCATAGGCCTGCG